ATAAAATAGAATGGACACTTACTTCAACAGTTCATACATTATATAAGTCAACATCACCAAATGTGTGAAAAACTGACTAGACATATTAAAGAAATATTGATGAGTATATTTTCGGTAAGAATTTACAGAACAAAATATACTTATCTGATATTAAAAAAGCTCAAAAATAATAGTTAAATCCTTATAAAATTATATTGATTTTACCCCAGTACATTTTAAAAAGTTTCACTATTAAGTTTCTCCACAAAATGTGCCCTTGGCCCCCTTTTATGAAGAAACTAGTTTTAAAATGCCATAAAAGATTACACCAGTTACGTTCAAAAAATTCTCTGGTCGAATTTCTGAGAAAAAGAGCAACACTTACGTAAGCAACGTCAGCGCGCAGGGAAGTGCTTGCCCCGGAAACGGAATGACACTGTTACTCGAGCAATAACCCACCGCTACACGCAGCCTTCATAAGAGTACAATTTAACTGCTTTGCGTACCTTTCCTTCCTACTTTCCTTCTCGTTTAGTCTGTGGTGGTTTACGTCCAAAGTCATTCTTGCCGAATTCTCTATGGGTACATTGAATTTTTTTTTGTTTTTACGCAATAAGTAACAGTCACATCTTTTCAATATATGATTTAAAACCATAGAAGACGACAAAATTATAATTATTATGTAAAAGAGTCGTACAATTGCATGCAGGTAGTCGGTCTTTTCGTCCCTGCAAATGTGTTTGAATTAACATGGTTAATATGTCTGGTGAAATTGCATGTATTCTTAGGAGAAAGAGACAGAGGACAATAGTAGAAACCAGGTATTGAGTAAGTTCTGCACATTGCTAGGTTTTGCATTCTCGACGTGAAAAATTTCCGCATGAGAGTATATTGGGAAACACAAGGCTTCTGACAAGAAGTTGAGAAAGTAGCTTTTTTATTTGAGCTTTTGTGTGGTAGACGCTAAATGCCTTCTTTCTGCATATAGCAGATGTATCTATTATGTTTCTGTCCCGTGCAAGCAAATTCCACAATTATGCACTCTTCACGTATAAAAAAGATTATAAGAACACGTGCATTCATTTCTCTTTGAGATTCTGATCATTGCTATTCACATTTTATACTTCGTGTACAGATTTCAATTACAATAGTCTCAATACATTTTAATACCTAAGAAACTATTTTTAATCTCCTCCTCCTCCCAAGGAAGAACATAGTCTAAATATATCACCTTTTGGTCAATAATATTTGAGTAATATATCGACGATATTTTATCCACTAATGATCATATGGTAATAATAATGGTATTATTTATAATAATTATAATACTGTTATGAATTATGTATTATTTTGATAGGACACACCGTGATATCCTTTCATTTTGCATTTCAGATGCAAAGAGAAATATTTCCGATCTTAAGAGAGATTTCACGGTTCAGATCGAAGTGTGTAGGTGATCGATACTCCATGTTTCTGCGTGATATCAATAGAATGACGAAAATATAAGACGTGCATTCTAAAATTCAACCAATATTTATGAGAGTGTTGTCTGAAAATTTTAAAAAATTCATGAAAACTGAAGAACAAGTGCTATAAATTACAAAAATGAGAACTCATCTTCAATTATTTGTCGATAACTCTCATATTCGTTTTTATTCAAATCGATACAAACATTTAAATCGTCTAATAGTAGAAATAAAGCATTATGATTCGTGAACAGGTTCTTGCTTAACATTACCAAAAATAACCGATAGTGACGAACTCTGAAGCATTTATTATATTTGAACCGTATTGTTTATTTCTAATACCAACAAAAATAATGAGAATAAATTGGGGAAAGAGTGATATTAAAATGTAGTGAACAGCATTTACTTAGAAATACGACAAATATTGCATTTGAAATCCAGACCTTTCACAATGTATTTTTTCCAAAAATAACAAGTTCTTTAGATTTTTATTTTCGATACGATCTAGTTTTCTTCAGTATGCGTTTGAAATGGAGCTCCATTCCACACATCTTTATGACAGTTGCGTAATCGAATGTTATATATCAGACATCGTTGCTCCGCGACTCGTTTTGTTTGCCATAATTGCTATTTTATGGCTATTGCATATATTTTAAAACTAATATATTTATTCGTGGTTAATTATTACACCCCAAAACTACGAAATACTCGTGCATACCTGCTTTATCCCTTTTATTGATGTACGACGAGACTCACAGCACATGCTGAAAGGTTTGGTGCAAATTACGTTATCTTAAAGCAAACCACTTATACATGGCTGAGATGAAAGGACCTCGGTTATGACTGAGGCTAGATGTTAGCAACTCAAAAAAGGCTTTGATAGTATTTACTAGAAATATAAATAAGCAGAAACTCTTCTACATAGCGAAATACGTAATTAGGGTGAGTTGTTGGATTGCCCTAGTCTACAGCAGTGAGCTAATATATTGAATATTACGGAAAACCTAACAAGTTCAAACTACTTAGCCGCTAAGTACACATTCATTAGTGATGTCAAATTAATGTTGATAAATTTTTAAGCTCTTGTAAATCCCTCCAATGAGGAAAGGCCTTTTCTCGGAACTTAAAGCGGAGAATTCGTAGGCCACTGTTTACAGAGCCAGACTCTCTAGTCTTTAGGAAGAATATTTACAGGATACAAGTCAACTTAGCTTTACCCGTCGAGCAAGCACAATTAAAGAATTAAGGCATTAGATATATTAAAAATTCTTGGAAATGAATTTTTTCCATGAATGTCTAGTAATTAATGATTAAAATGAAACTTCTGTGGAAACTTGAAGTCTAAATGAAAATCACTACGTCAACATGGTATTTTGATCATATCCGTAAGATAAATATGTCTACTAATATATCGACATGCCCACCCTCCCTCTTGAGACCTACTAACACAAACACACACACGCACGCCTCCCCCCCACACACACACACGCACAACAATATCTTCTCCAAATTTTTGCCTACTTTTCTCATAGGAACAGTTTGCTTACAACGAATGCCCCCTAGCAAAATTAAGAGACAAAAAGGAAAACACGAGCAGTAGAGTGACATTACAGTTTCGGTCAAGACCGGTAATAGTGCCCCTCATTACTGGCTTCGCCTACGCAACTGATTGAGAAAATCTAACCAATGACCAAGCTACGCGCGAAGTTTATTTCTACAGAGATCTCAGAGTAAATGTTACAAACTTCTTGAGCATGTAGGGGAATCGAAGACGAACATAGTTTGTCAATGAATGTGTGGTGTAAAATTTAATAGAATGACGTTATAAAGGTGACATTTACCCCTGCGTTGTAGGCAACACGTCATGGATTAGTATCAGGAATATTTTCAGGAACACGATATCTCTCTGACTGCGAGAGAACGTGATCTGCCAAATCTCAGTACAAGCTGAGTTACTTACCAATCAGGTTCAAATGTCACATATGTAACTTTTTCACTTGTGAAATTTTCTTCTACATATTCATTGAAAAAGTTATTATTCTCATATACGACCTTCTCGCGTGCTTAGAAGATGAAGATATTAATTCTGAAACATCTTGTATAGGTAGTTATATTCAGGAAGCAACAATTTTTATATCGACAATTCTCCGCAGGACGGATTCGGATGTCAATAATGAACTATGTTTGGCTCTCTATCGCACTAAAAACGCAATAAATTTAATTTCTATTAGACAAAAAGAAACAGACAATTTCTTTTCGTATTATATAACAAAATCTCTTCGTGACACAATTGTAAACGTAACGGAAAGAAACTCCAGGAACTAGGTACTGAACATTGTTTGACAATTTTTTTCTTATTCCTTGCGTATGTGCGTTTTCCGGTCTGTATCATGGATTCAAATACAATTGACTAAAGCAAGTATGCTACCTTCTAGACCAAGTGGTTTGATAAAATGTTTTTGTTATTCAATACTGTACAATAGCATCAGTCTAATATTTATTAATCCGAGTTATATTTCTTTGATATAGCTACCAAGCTAAAACTTTTCTCTACATAAATATTATCTTCAAAGAAAATTATATTGTTATTCCTTGATATTCGGTAATAATTCTCCCCACTGTGCAAGTTCCACTGTGTCACAAGTTTATTCTGATTTCTAATTTGTATCTCATTCGACACGGCAATGCGTACCCGATCAATTTTCGAGCAAGTATGAGACTCAAATTAATGTGAATATATGACCGATAATGCATAAAGAGTACCCACAAGTTCAAATATTTCGTAACTGAAAATTCAACGACGCTAAAAAATTATTCATCTTAAAAATCATGAAATTGCGAACAAAATGTTTACCTCATAAATAATATCCTATTCCTTTTACGGTAATTACACATTTCATCACAGTATACTGGAAGTATTTCTGCATTGTAGGTCTTTTCTAATTATCCCAATTAACTAGACAAAAAAGAGTATTTTTGTGTGTTAAGTACAACATGTTTGAAAAAAGTAGTTCATGCAATTAGTTTATAATGTTAAGTTTCATTGCATGAGTACATATTTTGAAAACGAGCGACGTTAGGGGCGAGGTTTCAAATTTGTATGAATGCATTAAAGCAGCATTATAAACCAGTTGCATACTCTATTTTTCTGTATAATAGCATTATAAATTTATAATAAAATCAAACTTAATTTTGCGAAATAACTTTCTTGCGACGTCTCGGGTATTTGACATCTGTGTGAGAAAACGGTGGTCGACTGTTCCGTTCACTGCTACCTCCCTACGATTCTCTCGCTGCGATTGGCTGAATGTGTAATGACTCATTCATTCGTGCCGTAAAATCAAATATGTCATCATTTATGCCGTAAAATAACCCTTTTATGAACTATTTCTTACCGCATAAAAGGTCGTTTACAATGCTGGTATACAAAAATGATATTTACGCAACGTTTCACCTATGGATTAGAGTGAGATCCGAAGTATCGCATCAAAAGATGTGTAGCATGAATACGACGGTGACGACTCATCGCGGAAGCACCTGCTTGCTCATGTCCTCATGTCCGCGCTTTCTCTTCGCCCACAGGCCTTGAGCTCCCTGGCGGTGCTCGTGAGCGCCCGCCCGGGCAACATCGGCGGTGGCGGCGGCGGCGGTGGCGGCTTCGGCGGCGGCAGCGGCTTCGGGACGTCGGGCGGTGGCGGCAGCGGCTTCGGCCTGGACAGCTACGCGGCGCCCATCAGCGGCGGCGGCGGCTCGGGCCCTTCGGGCAGCTACGGCGCCCCCGCCCCGCAGTACGGAGCCCCGGCGCAGGCCCCCGTCATTCACAAGCACGTTTACGTGCACGTCCCGCCCCCGGAGCCCACCTACAATGCGCCTAAGAAGGCCCTGCCTCCGCCGCCGCCCCCGCAGAAGCACTACAAGATCGTGTTCATCAAGGCGCCCACTCCCCCGCCGCCCACCGTGCCCGACATTCCGCCCATCGCCCCGCCCGCCGAGCAGAAGACGCTCATCTACGTGTTGGTCAAGAAGCCCGAGGAGGCGCCCGAAATCACCATCCCCACGCCAGCGCCCACCAAGCCTTCCAAACCGGAGGTCTACTTCATCCGCTACAAGACTCAGGTACACTTCCGAGCGTGCGCACTTTGGTTAACGAAAATAAAAGTGAGGTAGTCCCGTCTCACTTCTATTTTCTTCTCACTACTGCACCACAGTAGCCTTCTCACTACAGATGTTTGTTACTATTTAACGGACTTTGCCTTGTAGTCAGCTAAAGAAACAAAATATCTCATTCTGGCAAATTATAATTAAAAACTTGCATATTTTCAAGAATTCACTCAAATGAAAATATATTTTTGTCATTGCCACTCATTTTTCAGTCAAAACATACTTCCATTAACAATATATACTATTTCATATAATTATTTCATTTAAACTCTAAACATATTATATTTTATAGTGATTAAACAACTGACAATATTTTTGTGATAATTTCAACGAAAGACTGTAAGTACCTCGAAAACAGCCCCTTCGCATCACCGCAAAGCAACCCGTCAAACAGCAATGTACTGCAGAAAACATATCTACACGAATTCCGATTCTTGTAATTCTGACGCGAGCTGCTTTTGTTGTTTTGGGGTCATGTTAAGGGGTAATGAAGGGTATGTCATTAAGTGATGTAAGAATACGATATACAATTACAAATTACAAAATTTTACGTGTCAAATATTCAATAATTTCAGGGAAGCAACATGCAATGTGTCAGTGAGAAACGTCAAATCAAGATTCCTTTACAAATAAGATCATATTTTGATAAGTTCTGAGAAGCTTGTTGATAATCAGCCAAAAAACATATAGAAACAATATATTAATGATCATAACTAATTCTTTAAATTCATGTACAATGCTTAAAATGTTTTAAAAAATTCTACGAGTATTCACAATTTCAGGAATGTCTTTATTTTATCCTTAAGTATGTTAACAGTTATGATTATATTAGTAACATGCGTTTTTGGGTTACAGAAGCAGGAAGGATACCCACCATCTGGGCAGCCAAGTGGAGAATATGGTGCTCCCTCTGGGCCTGCGCCTTCTGCTCCTGGTTCCAGCTATGGTGCCCCTGCTGCTCCTTCAGCGCCCTCCAGTCAATATGGCGCTCCTAGCGGAGGTGGCGGCTCTTACTAGAGTCCTCAGATATTTCAAACCTAATCACTCGTTTGCCAATATGATCGGTTTCATCCACATTCACTAGACTGAGTAGTTTGCTTAAAGGAATTCAAAAATTTTGCCAAACATAAGATAACACAAAGTAACAACGAAATAATCAGACTTATTTGACCGACTACTCGAAGTGATTCAGTTGTCATGAAATACCTATTAAGACACATTTGCTTAAGTCTATGATCATTTTAAAAACTAAATTTGATTGTACTAAACGTCATTTAAAACTACTGCTTTAGGAAAAAATGAATCACAAATATAAGATAAATGAAAGGCGACAATTCAAAAGCTCATTTCTCATTGTACGAGTATCATTAAATATAGCTCTGTGAAGAAAATAATATCATAGATCAGAATTTGAAGTTTTAAGTAAAGTAAGGTATACGTGTATAGTTGTCTACCACAGAGAAACTCAAAACTCTGCATAGACCATATGTTTCAATGTAGATGTACATTCTACATCTCATTTTCACATTCATAATGTGACCCTAGTTGAAATAAAATTGTAATATTTCACAAGAGGTAAAGCTATAGAACATATCAAGAGACTTACCGAAAGTAGGCAAGAAAGTAGACCCATTTTGGTGTCAACTGTACTGAACAGTTTTGTATCAAAGAACATTTTTAAATATGTATTTTATAAGTTTTGTATTAAATCATACTTTTTTACAAATAAAATAAAAATCAATGCATTTATATAAACACTCGATTTCTCATTTCTCTATTTGTACACCAAGGATTACCACAATAAGATATTTATTCCTTGAACAATTTGACCTATTCTAGTCACTTGATAACCGATTATTATTATTTTGATTCGCTATGTCTTCGCGCGAGAGCCATCGCGAGTGAACAAGTTATTTCCCTTACAATTTATTATTCATTGGTTAGTTCCGTAACCAATACGCACTTTTCATAAAAATGTTACAACAGTTACAGTCAGTGTTATGTCAAATGTTACAACAGTGTAACATCACCTCTCAAAGTAATAATATTCTTCTATCACAGCTGATTTGTTATTATAACAACGTAAGCCAACTGAATTTGGATACAAAATAAAACTCCACAAGAAATTGTCGTGCAGACAATACAATTTTAAATTTCTGCTTCGACTATTTTGAAATAATGAAATCAAAATTGTTGATTTTATTAGTACAGACCGATTGTGCTAAAAAATGGATATCTCTTAAATTCTACAATTTTTAACTCAAAATTAATAGAACATTTTTAACCGTCTAAATTGAGTAACGTTTTGGAAAAACTCCCCTTAAATATGATTACATTCATTCTATGATTTATGCCATCATGTACTGACATGAAAGAAACGCCAAAAGAATTGAAAAAATAATATTCTGTTAATCCGCCCATGAACAATACTAGCTGACAATCTGTAAACATTTTTTCCCGAAATTATATTCCCCCATAGACCTAGTCAAGGCCCTGCGATACTTTTTAATTTTAAGGATAGTACTTGAAAGAAATCAATGGGATATTTTCAATTTTTTCTCGAAAATGGTCCCTAATTTTTTTTCTTGAAATTGTTTACCCAAATAGAGCAAAGTTCTCTTACTGATATGGAATTTTCATATGCTATGCAATTTTATTGCAAACTCCTGTTTTTTCGAAAATTGCAAAAATTCTATTTTTTGAACTGCATCTCACTTTTATTATTGAAAATATTTCTTTCTTAATACAATCCCATCCGCAATATTGTATCTATAAATCAGTTGTTTCTAAATATTAGTATTTTTCGTGAAATTGTGAGTGAACTCGTGAGTTTTGCAAAACCACCAAAACAATATTTTCTCAAAAAAGGTTCATTTTTCTTTTAATGTTTTTAACTTCTAGATCACAGTGCACTAATTCATGAAACGCGGACGCGGTATTTTTACCAAAACATTTTAAATTTTCAACAAAAATATACATGTATTTTTAACATCTATCGTGTTAAAATTTACTTGTGTATTTTATAATGCAATGCGCACTGATACAAATGCTTCAAATTATATCTAATTAATTTTCTAGAAATCTCAAATGTTTTTGTGTGTAAATATTTCCTTTCGTGCCTAATAAGAATAGAGGATAACCCTGATAAGTAGACAGCCTTTTGTCAGTCATAATGTTCATAAAGAAAATTAATTTGTTTTATCTTATGACACTTTTGTTTATCTTATGACAAGCGCGCACTGCCCAGAATACAACAGACGCAGTCCAATGCATCACAATGTAACATCACAACAATAAAAGTGTTTAGATGAGTACAATAAAAGCTTCGTCTCTAGAGGGGTACGTCCAGCTTCGGAATCCATTCCTCCTCAGTTGGTGTCACACAAAGGAAATCCGCCAGATCTCCACGATAGGTTCAGAGTTCACAACTCTCCACCAAGTGACGAACGGACACCACACTCACAGTCTGGAGACGGTACCACGTCCCATTTGAAGAACACCGCGCATCTTCCATGTCCAGTTTATACGCGGTTTGCCGTCTTTCATATATTGCGAGGCATATCAAAGCCCGGAGGTTTTCAACTTGTATTAAGAAAATTAGAGGTTGTAGCAGGTGTTTTAGCAATCCAGTATTTCTCACATTCTGCTTGGATTTGGAAATTGTTCTTGTTTAAATATGCAGCTGTTGGAATGGATGGTTTCCGTGATTTCAGTCTATTGAGCGAGGCAGCTTGGATGTATCCGTGTATAGGAAGGCTAGTATTATGGGAGATCTTCCTGAATTCTTCTATTAGGGCTCTCTGTCTCCTTAGGTCTCGTGGATCGATGAGACTCAATGTATTAAGCTGGTAAATCGGAGTCGACCTAATACAACCAGTTATAGTACGCATAGAGTTATTTAGTTAGGTATCGACCAGATGGGCATGGCGGCTGTTCAACCATAGAGCAACTTTCTACTCCGCTGCGCTGTACAGAAGTTCAAGAGCTTAAGTACAAAGTACAGAAGTAGCAGCGCCTCAACTTGACCCACACAACTTCTGCAAAATATTGTTTCTAGTGCGAGTTTCAGCAGGTGTGTTTTTCAAGCGGTCTAGGGTTATGCCCAAATACGTTGGTGTCTTCTTATAGTTCAACATGGAGGGATTAAAATAAATCTTCAATTTCCGGTAGGCCATTGTATTACGTATGTGGAAGCTAGAGCATTCCGTTTTCTTTGTATTTGCGCTCAGTCTCCTCTTGCGATAGAGTAAGCCTACGTCTGTAGTAAGTATTTCCACAGATTTCTCGAAGAATGATTGTTGGGTGGCAATCACCAAGTCATCGGCATATGCAAATTTATGTGAGGTAGTGAGTGGCAAGTCTGTAATATACAAATTAAAAAGAATTGATGCGAAGAAGGAGCCTTGCGGTAGGCCGTCTTTCAGCTTCTTTGTCTTGCTTATATCGCTGCCATTTATAAATGTGATTGTTTTATTATGCAGCATGTTATTAATAAGTTCATAAAAGCGCCTATCAGGGAAGATTTTCAAAAATTTACACATTAGTCCTTTTCTCTAGACTGTATAGTATGCTGCTGTAAGGTCAATAAATACAGCAGCGGTATGGTACGTTTACGTTTTTTAAAGCCAGACTCAATATATGTAGTTAGATTGAGCTCCTGATCGGCACAGCTTCTTCCAGGTATGAATCCTGCTTGTTTATTGTGGATATTGAATATTATATTGATTCCTGAAAATTAAAAGTTGTAATGACGAAACTTATGTCAACGTTTGGAATGCTTCTTTGGCGGTATTATGTAACCAATCGTATGAGCAGATATCTTATGTAACCGGAACACCAGAGTTGCGGAAAATGAGATCTTCAATATACCGGAGAAGAAAGAGTGTGCCTTGAATTTTGATTGTCTATTAGAATTTTAAAATGAAAATACAGAGAGATTGATATATATATATATATATATATATATATATATATATATATATATATATATATATATATATTTAAGAAGAATTGTCTCTATCGACACCCCTTACGTTACTCTGTACAGTATATGCCTAATCACAACATAAATAATTTCCCATAAGTGTCTTTAAAATAACAACCTCTCCTCGTACCCCCAATGTGCAATGGCCACAAAACCTTGAGCTTTTCTTAACTGGCCATAATATTTTTCCAGTGCGTATAGCAGGGAGTATTTTCTTCTACGATAGAATATCGTTGTCAATACATAGTTATACTTTGTTTAGTTTTCTAAACATCCTATGCAGTTGTGTAGCGAAGTTCTCAGATGACCCGGGAGCCCCGGAAATGGGGCTCGTATCGGCATTGAACGTGAAATTAAGAATTTTAAATTGAATTGAGATAAATATGAGAAGAGAGTGTAGAAAATAAATATAGGGTGCAATTTTTTTTATTCTTTGTCGAACATCCGTGCGCGAGATACTTATTAAGAGCCCCTTACTTTCAGGGTTCGGTGGGTGCACCAGTGGCAACAGCTCAGCTACGCACCTAATCCTAAGGATGAACGACTGTTACTAAAGAAGAGGAGCGAGTTTTGTGTGTTATAATGTTTTGTTTTTTATGCATCTGAAAACAATTAATTATCAAGTTTACTTTATATGTCAATGAGATGTTGATTATACCTAACAGTCACCGATTCATATTCTGCTATAGTCCCCAATCGATCCCTTGGCCATCATTGACCCCCTTCAAAATTTCATTCACCCCCAAGGTGTCGATATCGACTCTTTGAATAGGATTATTTTCTACGACGTACTGAAAATTATCGAAATTCGTATTATTTACCTATCTGAAAAAATATACTATTTTTCGATCGATCTGACTCAATTTAAGACCCTGCGAGTTTGAAACGGATCATTTAATTTTCGGAAGTCCATTATATGAAGCCTATACTACCATATTTTCACAATTCCATCAGAAATGGCCCTCTTTAAATTGTTTGTTCGAGTAGAGAGCAGTGAACTGAACAAATATGATAAAAGTGTAATTTTTGTTGAATTCTCTGACTTTCTGAAAATTACAACTAGTTTCCGAGTTTCACCTGCATCTTTGTCATTGAAACTAGATATTTATGATGTAATACAATATATTCTTCAATATTAGTAACTTCATACCGTTTCCTGTACAGTTTCCTTTAGAGTTCTGGTAGAAGTAGAACTGGGGATGTGGGTTGCTATTTTGTAAGCAATACTAAAAAACGACGCAAATAAGTTTCTTTATAATTAGGGTACGAAAATATCTGGTTTTCAAGTGTTGCTAACCTCGCGTTGTTGGTATACTTCTATTCGTGTATAGTAAAAGGATGGGTGTAGAGATTCTGAAGCTCAAGAAAACGTGCGCAGATTATAATTCTCCGCCACACGTGACATACAGTTTTTACTGTTTTATTTTTTATTTTTACAAAAAATAAGTCAGTTTACAATAAAATTTGATTTACTTAAATCAAATTAATCAAAGAAATAGTACAGGTACAATTGAAATAAATGAATCAAACTGTCACTGATGAAGCCATCTGATGAGACATTTATTCTCTTAATGACAGTTCACGATGTCCAGTCTCTCATCCAGTCATGGAAATGACATAGGGTGACCTCTTAATCCTTAGCACCTACTCCATACTGTAGTGATGTTAGGAGTGACGGAAACGTGGTGGTCTCCTTCTAGGAAGGGCGACTGTTACACACCATTAAGAGCAACCTTTTTTCACGTTTATTTTTAATATAATAGAAAAAAGGTG